ATTCAAACTAGCTGCACCTTTACAAGCTTTGATAACACTTTAATGATCAATCATTATAAAACATATCATATATATTATTCTGAAATGGACCTGAATGGATCGGCACAATGACTGCTTTTACTTTTGCTACTTTAACTATATTTTGATGCTAATACTTTTCAACTTTTACTTGAGTAACATTTTGAATGCAGGGCTTTTAGTACTTCTACTTTTACTCAAGTACAAGATCTGAGTACTTCCACTTTTACTTAAGTACAATATCTGAGTACTTCTCCCACCTCTGATATTTATGTTTCAATGTTATCTCTGATGAAAAATATTCCAACCATGACATGTTTATTTTAGGGTAAATAATGTATTGCCATATGCAAATCTGACGTCCAAACTCTGACCCCCTAACCAGCTCAAGTGTTAGCCCCCATGCTACAATGCACTATATCTTCTATGTTTAATTCCTTCTCCTCACTGCTCCTCACCTCTTCCGTTGTTGCAGCCCAGACCGCTGGCGTTTCCTATCCGGTCCATCCTGGCTCCGAAGCAGCTCGAGGACCGCTTCCTGGAGCCGATCAGCAGGTCCAGCAGACGGCTCCGCACACTCTGGCCCCTGCTTGGGCCCTCCGCTGGCACTTGGGATCTCTCTGATGTCAAAGGTTGTTGGGGCCCCTCCTGGTCCAGGTTCCATCCCCTGGGGGCCTGGCTGTTGTCAGGCTGCTGGTTGGTGTCTTCATAGTCAGCATCAGAGTCCTCCTGGTTTGCTTCAGCCAGCGTCTCCTCAAAGCGCTGCAGCAAAGACTGGGGGTGGTACAGTCTCTTTATGTTAAAGTTACACATGCGTGCTTTAACCACTAGGTGTCCCTTTCTATCAGCTGTGCATCATTATGGTGTAAATACAGCCTACCAATTGGATCAAATATAAAAGTCAGCCGAATTAGTGTTGATACTGCAGGAGACGTATTGTGTGAAAATAAATCTAAGATGTTGTTTAATTGCTGATATATTTATGATCCACGTCACATTTTCAGTTTTAGCGGCAGTTCTTCCTGTTTGTCTAGAAGTCTTCTCATCAGGGCTCTATAAATAGAGAACTACGGCAGATATGTAATATTTAATGCAGCCGAACGGTGTATTACAATGCCGTTATGTGATGACTTTCAAAGAGAAAAGCAAGCACACTCGGAATAAAGTATTATTTGTTTTTTTTTAAATGTTTTCGGATTTCACATTTCACCGAGCTGAGGATCTTGCCTACGTATGTTTCCGGTATTGTTTATATATTTTGTTATACACACAGTCCTTAATATTTAAATTTACATTTACATTAAAGTATTTTGTGAGGCCTTCTAAAATGTTTTTAAATATAACTGTGGTTCTAGTTGAAGAGTTTGTAAATTAACATGAAGCCAAGTTGTTGCCTGGCAACGCAATCGCACAAGTCACGTCTGTTAAGTCCGCAACCGCACACATGGATTAACATCGATTTAATACATTAATGTAGCCTTTGTTTCTGCTAAAAGAGGTGTCGACTAGCTGGGGGAACAACAAAAAAGGCGAAATCGAGTGTGACTATTAAAAAATAAATCATTATTATATTAATATTGACAATAACAACCGACCGTCGTGGTACAGCGTTTGCTTGGCATTTCCGGGTATTTGGGCCATGTTAACAATACCGTGTAACTGTCACGTTTGAAGGGACG